ATGCCGCGAATGGGACAAGAGCAGTCGAAGAAGAATTTATGCCGAAGATATTTAACAACACTTGGAAAATTTTTGAGAAGCCAAATAACGGTAAGGTAATTGGCAAGAAAATGGTATTTCGGATCAAAAACAATTACAGCTCTACAGGCAAGAAAAATCTGAATAAAACAGGAGTTACTCAGCACCAAACATATTCAAAAAGCTAAGCAATGGCGCATGTCGCTGAAAAGGATGAAAAACCCCGTATGCCTCATAAGGGGAGCTCTATATGGACTGCATCCATCTATCTTAATTTGGTACTGAAAACATACAGCGAAACTGTAAGATATTGGACTAGAACCCACTTAACAGGATCCGAATGGTTGTAGCAATCAAAGGCACACACCAACAAGACATTGCAGATGAAGAACATTGGCCCAGTTAAGACCCTCCTAGAGAAAGAGTTTAAGCAAGAAAAGCCGAAACATTGTGTTTTATTTCACAAAAAAATAACATTGATGCCATATTGAAGAGATTTGGCATCGCAGTTTGCAAACCTGCCATTACTCCAATAGAAGCGAAATCAACACTAAAACCTCCAGCCGAGCCAAATGAAGATGAGAAGTAAATGAAGCAAATCAAAATTTAATTGGTTATCTAATCCTTCTCGCAGTCACGACATAGCATTTTCTGTGAGTTTTATGAGCCATTCAACTCTAGCCACACTATTGAGCGGTATCTAAGCAGTAAAAAGATGGGGGAACATGCCAGAATTGTGAATCACTGCGACAGCAGTAGCCGGAGAAAGATCGGTATAGAAAGACAAGATAAAAGTGCTCGTGACAGGTCTGGGACCAAGATCCTATATGGAAGATTAGAGTGAAATTCCATTATTCAATTCTATTATTTTCATATTCTCAACCCATCGAAAATTTGTTAAGAGGGTATAATGGGAAGCCTTTTCGACCCCAAAAAGTATATATATTCTTGATTAGCATCAATAGCAAAATCGAACTCAGAAGAAGGTCTGCTTGTTACCAGCAATTTCGATAGTCCTCACCTGAAACCATTTTCAAGCAAAAGATCAAATTTGACATAGAAATCCTGTTTTTTGACCAATTCTCTAAGATTTCATTAGAAAGAGTTACCAAAGTCACATGTAGCTTCTAGAATAGTATATACAAATCAAGTATCACTCATTTCATAGATATCACCACCCCCTCGGCACCACTCCATAGTTATAAATGAAATGAATATATCAATTGGAAGTAAAAATTAATTAAAGCCAGCATTTTAATTGTGTTGTCTTTTTGATAATATACGAATATTTTATAGCACAGATCTAATGCTGAAAATTACATCAACATCGGTTAAGAAAGATAGAAGTTATTACAGCCAGTATCATATTATATAAGCTATATAATGCTAAAGTAATTGATTGCGTACCCCGAGCTGCATATGGTGTTTGTAAAGTAAGGTTTAGGGTATCGCCTAGCCGGGCACACCCTACTAGAGCACCCTTATTCTTTAATATTTCATCTGTTTACGTTGTTTGTTTCTGTAACGTATTGATGTATTGGTATATATTTTGGTTAGGCAGTATTGTACGTGCGGAATGTGTACCAGAGATAGGTGCTATTAAGAATCGATGATCGATGATAAAAACAATATTTAAAGCATACAAATACTTTACTATTTCCATGTTTTTTTCAGTAAGGGAATGTAGATATGTGTAATTTTCAGAGTATTTGGTTAAACATACACTACCGCGATCATGGAAAATCGCATCTTCTTGTGTATCTGTAATATTTATAATTTTTAACGCAACTAAAATTGTATGATACATACAATAAATGTTTATAGCTAATTTGCGCTATATTATATTATCTGATAAACAAAATTTTGTATATACAAAATTTAATACCAAATATCAAAATGCGAAAAGTGCCTTTTTTTCTAAAACATAAATGACAAAATAATAAATACACAAAAATGCAGTCCAACGACGGATATATGCACTCAGATATGGCGAGGTGGCTACAGAGAATGACCATGGAAATTGCAAAGTCGCCGAAGGGTGGCCTCAATCGTAAGATGTATATTACGGTCTAGCAAGACCGCCTGAAGCCACAGAACTGTTGATGGGCGCTCCAGTCGTTACCCACAAGGATATATCCCCTCCAGAAAGCCTAGATTATTCTCCAATTGTCCGACAGGAACGAAGGCCGGTCAATACACAGCAGCAAATGTGTCATCGCTATTAGCTCAGAAATTCTGTCAAATCTGTCACTGTAATAGAAAGGTGACAATTAAGCTCCGAGCGGATAATTGCTTTAACATCATCCGGGTGGCTGGTGAATTAAATATCATAGCCATGGATGTGAAAGGAAGAGCGGAAGAGAAAGTTAGTTATCAACAAAATGGATGTCAATAGTTGACGATCTTAAGCTTATAAGAAATCTCGGTGCAACCAGTTCAAGATTAGCACGCACTGCATCATCTCTTAATTGGATATGATTATGAACATCATTTTGCCAAAACTGTATGACAAATTGCAACCAGTTGCGTTTGTATATATGTTACATATATTATATTGTAACATATATTATGTTACATTTTCAAAACTCAATCGCTTAGCAAAAGGTATTCTTAATTCATCTTTATTTAAATTAGGTAATTTCACAAGTTGTGTGTTAAGCTATTTCATCATAAGAGAGATGCTAGACATCGCAATTCAATCGGACGATAACTTACATGAAGAATATATATATCGATAGTAGCTTAAATTAAAGTCAAACATAATATTTCTTCCTCTTCTAAGGGACTGGTGAGAAATTCATTCTTTCTTTAATTACTCGGGACGTACACTTTGCTCTGTTCGCATTGATGTTTCCTTAGGTGTTGGCGATCCCCGTAACATTGGCGATTCCCTTGGTGCTGACATCAGTATTTCTTGATTTTCAGTTGTGCGCGAAGCTTTCGGTGTTCTGACCGCCCTGTCTATTGTCGGTCGTTAAATCTGATCCAAAGCAGTCCCTTGGTCTCTTATCTGTTATGTTATAAGCAGGTGGTGAATTTCTAGTTTTGCCTTAAGATCTCTCCTCGAATCCACTAATCCATTCTCGGGTTTCCAGAAATAAAGTAAACTACATCCTTAATCTCAAAAGGCGCCACGATTGCTTGCATTTTAAAATTTGTTTTGCTGATACCTTTTCCTTGGTGGACTGGATCAAATCCAGTCGTGTACGTAATTTTCGACCCAAGTTGTGCTATGCGGAGCGTTTCTGTATTGCTGTAAGAATTCGTTTATGTTCCTCTTAAGTGTGTTGGATGTCGTTCCCATTGCCTTTAGCGCACTTTTACCGTTTGGACATTTCTTTCTGCTTGACCGTTCGTTACGGGGTGATAAGGCGCAGATAACTTGTGGTATTTGACGCCAACAAACGTGAGGTATTGCTTGAATTCGGCCGAATTGAAATTTGTCGCGTTATCGGACACTACCATGAGGGGGACGCCAGACATAGCAAATAAATCATCTAGTAATTCCCTTGTTGTTGTTGCCATAATCTTAACGTTCAACCACTTTAAGTATGCATCCGTAACAAACAAAATCATAGCGCCTTCATATGGTCCCGCGAATTCGATGTGAATGAGTTCCCTAGGCGATTTAAGGTATTCCCAATAGTGATCGGAGCATTTTGCATCGCATTCTCGATGTCCTTATCGATTCCTGGCCAGTAGATAAAAGAGCGTGCAATACGCTTCATTTTTACTACACCTAAGTGGGCCCTGTGTAGTCCGTCGAGGATCAGTTTTTGAAGTTTAGGTGAGATAACCACGCGATGTTTGAATGCAGCCACATGATATCTCCTACTTGCACTCTGGTGACTTGTATCCATTTCTTGTATGACATTGGCCGCTCTCCAGTATTTGCAAGATTTTGCCCAAATGCTGATATTTTCTTCATTATACTGCACGGTGCACCTGTGTCCAGTTCCATTGGTATTTGTATTCCATCATGGCGTTGGTATTAGATTGTTGTATAAATTGCATTTCTTCCGGGGCGTCTGAATGTTGACTCGGAGATCAGTTTCGTATTGGCTTTACATACCTTACTTATATGCCCTACTTTACCACACACGTAGCATTTCTCGTTTTTTTGAATTTGCAATCTTTGCGCAAGTGTTGGCCCCCACATACGTAGCATTTGTTTACTTGCTTCACTCCGCTTGACGGCTTCGTCCTGATTGGCGAGAAGCCCAGTTTGCATGAATGCTGTGTATCTGCAGCTTGGTTGTCATTAACCGTGTTTGCTGATCGTAGTAACAATTCCCTGGAATATGCAGCCTCGTATGTATCTGCAAAGGTTGTTGTCTGATTTTGCACGCCGAAAAGCATTTGTTCTGTTAGCATTCTGTCTAAAAACTAGTCGTAATTGCAAAATGATGCTGCCTGTTTCAAGCATAGAACAAACGCTGCTAGTGACTCCCCTGGTTCCTGGCGTAGTTGGCGGAATTTGAAACTCTCTGCGTAAATGTTTTGTTTGCCATCAAAGTGATTAATTAGCACTTCCTTAATCTCGCTGAGTTGTAGTGTCTCTGGTTGCGTCGGACTTATCAGAATACGTAGCACTGAATTCAGTTCAATTCGGTCAGCATCGGGAATTTTACTCAGTTGCAGTGCCCATTCGAATCGTTGCAAGTAGTCTTGCAGTGTACAGTCTTCTCCTCTCTTGAAGTTTGGCATTGCAAACGACGGTACTTTCGTAACGATTGCTACCCCACTTGCATTTTGACCTGTGTTACGGAACTGCTTGTTTCTCAGTGGGCCGCGCCGGCTGGCTCATCGGATTCTCTGGGTGTGGTCCCATCCCTGGCCCGCAGTCCGCACAATCGATAACAACAAAGCTACACGTCTGTAGCAAAACAGACTCACACAACACTACTCAAAATGAACCGCATAATCGATAACAAATATTCGGAACTACTAACTCATGAACAAAATACACAGCTGTAACAACTATGAAAATGTAAACAACAAAGGTAAGACACTCAATATAAATTAACAAAAAAACACTATTTATCCACCTTACTCTTCCAGATCGGGCCCCGGTTCCGGACCCAGCGTACCCGCCCTACCATGAGACGATCACCTCCACTCGTCTCCCTCATTTTGGCCACTAAATGGCCTATATTAGCCCGTGTCGGCCATAATGCCCACTCTCCCGAACAATATTATTTTAGCCGGACATGATTTCTTTCAATAGGTGCGTATAATTGGTTGCGTTTTCTTAAAATGTATAACAATCATAATCATTGCTTATGGCATTTATCTTGCAGCTGTTTAGGATCTCATGCAAGCGGATAATTCATTAACTTCACAGGTGCGTATTACTGTTGCATATATTTATACTAATTGACAAAGCGCATTCATTCCTAAATTTTTCTCTTATCTTATAGAATTAATTTTTTTATTTTTTTACAACACTGAATGGAACAGGCGACGAAATACTACAAGGATATTGCTAGTCGCCGCAAAAGAAACGCGCAAGGAGGCACTTTAGAGGCAATCGTTGCGCCGATTTAGGAACAATGGCCCACACAATTACTTAAAACTGGGTATGTCACGTATTATGTATTGTATGTATTAAATCGCTTAATTCTACCTTACCCTACCTAAAGAGCTCTCTGGGGGTGGTAAGGGGCGATATAAATGCGTAAATTCAAATTAGGTAAGTATGTGAGCATAGTTCGCGCAAGTGTCAATTTTAGATTTTTATATTTTACAGGCGCAGATGCATCACCTTTGGAGTTTCCCTCACCGTTCGCACTCTAAAGTGAAGCTCGGCGTAAGTGCCTACGTATGTATAAATATATTTTATAAATACAAATTAACTAAATTTAACGAAAAAAAAAAAAATCTACTCCTTTTCAGGGAGTGCAATTAGGAGTCTTCTTCTGACTCTGCCAGGGGCTCGAACGAGGATGGGCAAAAACATGGAACGGACTCACTCGGTGGATGTGGGCGGGGTCTCGCCTGTGGCCGCTTCTTCGTTGTTGGAGCCCGGTCGTTGGTGGCTCGTCTCGTCGCCTTCAGGTTTGCGCCGACGCTTGCTGGCGGCGTCGCGGATATGGCTGGTTTGCGCCGCTGCACTGAATCCTGGCCTTTGAATATTTCGTGGGCCTCTCTGGTGCGCGAGCTGGTCTCCTTGGTGCCGGAGCCGTTAATTTTTGGCTTATTTGGTTCGTCTCTCGTCGCACTTAAGTTTTAAGTCTCTTTTAATTTTTTATTATATTTTTTTTTTTTTTTTTGACTCGAGCGGTTTGCTTTCGATATATTTATTAAATGGCAAAAAAGAACACAAAAACAAAACTTTTATTTGTCTGTTAAGTCATTTGTATTATGCGCCGGCTTAATTTGCAGAAGGAAAAAAATTCGAGTCTTTTTAGCAGAAATGCAATGTACAACTTTTATGCTCACTTCGAGCTGGCACGCCCGCCGTTAACCGCTGAACAAATCGAACTCCACGACATTTTTGGGCAGCCACACCATCGGTGCCGAATTTCGGCACACGCATACATTTGCGAGGCGGGCACCGTTGCTGCTCATCTGCACAGCTGCAAATTTTTTTGGGTCAACGGCCCAAATGAAGGCCAAGGGCTCTTTAAGAGCGAACCGGGCGGCCAATAGCAATCGTCGCTTTTGGCGCCGTGGATCGCATGTCTGGCGTTGCCACCCTTCAAAAATTTGGGCTCCGCCGTGGGCCCAGCTTCACCCCGCATACTCCGACCATAGGACAAAAGATATCGGCGTGGCCGATAATATCGCACGCAACCAACTGAGTAACCCTCGGTGCTGCCGATAACGTCAAATGCAACATCACCACGCAGATTATTGTAACGACATGAAGGACAGTTACAAGGAATCTGCGTGCGCATTTCATGGATTGACCCAGCCGGCTAATAACGATGCCCAACGTAGGCCACACCCACGACAAGTAATCTATATTTTTGCCGCTGACCCAAAAAAAAAGGGGGGACTGGCGCTGCCGCCGCCGTTGCCTGGCAGGGAGGTGAGCAAATTACGATTATGTTCGTATATCTTTTGCGTGGAAGACGCCTAGCACGCGTCCCTGGAGATCTTCCAACTCGTAGGCGTTGGTTCCCACGGCTCGGACGACGCGGCTCTTCAAGAACTTCCGGGCGAACTTGGCATTGAAGGCTTTGCCGAAGCTGCTTAGTGCGAAGTTGCGCCTCCACACTTCCTGTCCCGGTTCCAGATGGAGCTGTCGCGCGCGGTGGTCGTACCGTTGGCGACTTCGCTCGTATGCGGTGTGCAGGTGGTCCTTGACTTGGCTTCGGATTACAGCCAGTCTGTCCTTTGCGTCAAGGTCAGAAATACTGTGGTCGGCCAATGATCTCAGCTTCCTGGCCAGTTTGTAACTGGAACCATTCAGGTACATCTGCTGTCCAAAGACCGCGAAGAACGGAGTGACTCCCGTAGCGCTGTGGACCGCATTCCGGATCGCCACTTCCACCTCTGGTAGGTACGCGTCCCATTCCCGATGATCCTGACCCAGGTAGGTTCTGATTGCCGACAGCACTGTGCGGTTCACGCGTTCGGCGGCGTTGCTCTGAGGCGAATACACTGGTGTGCGCAGGTGAGTAATGCCAAACGCCTGGACCATCGCATCGAACGACTTTGACACGAATTGTCGTCCATTATCCGAATGGATCACTTCCGGCACGCCAAATTTGAAGAACACCTCATGCACTAGGAAGTTCACGACATCCGCCGCGGTGGCTTCCCTCATGGCCTTCAGGAAGGTAAACTTCGAGAAGTGGTCTACGACGACGAATATCCACGCATGCCCTCGTTTCGACCGTGGATACTTCCCCAAGAAGTCGATATATAGCTTCTGGAAGGGGCGGTCGGTGCGCACTTCTTCCCCAATTCCGACCTGCATTCGGTAGTTCTGTGCCTTGGTCTCCTTGCATGTATCGCATTTCCGAACATAGTCCCTGACTTGTATGGCCATGTTGGGCCAATAATATCGCCTGCGCAGCGCGTGCAGCGTTTTCCTCATGCCTCCATGAGCTGACGTCTCGTCCGCGTGTGCTTGTTGGATGAGTCCTGCCGTCAGCGACTCCGGCACCCAGAGCTTCCAACTTGTGCCTTCGACCTCATCCTCCAAGCTCTCGTGCACGGTCCTCTTGAACAGAAGTCCGTCCTGCACTCTAAGGTCCGGCAACTTCCCTTGTTGGCTCATCACCTCTTTTATCAGCTCTCGATATTCGGTGCTCTCGAACTCCGGGGTCTGAAATCCCAACAGATCTTCCGGGGTCAGTTCGACCTCTTCCACGCTTCGGGACAATGTGTCTGCGACGACGTTGTCGGCTCCCTTGCGGTACTGCATGGAGAAAGGGAACGCTTGCAGTTCTAGGGACCACCTGGCTAATCTCCCGCTCAAGTCTTTGAGACTCATAAGCCACTGCAGACTCGCATGATCGGTGATTACCGTGAACGGCATCATCTCCACGTACGGCCGGAATCGATGTATGGCCAGTTTGGCGGCTAGGCATTCCTTCTCGGTCACCGAATAGTTGATCTGGTGCTTGTTGAGTTTGGCCGAGAAGAATGCGATCGGCCTTTCCTGTTGTTCGTCGTCTAGCTGGAACAACACGGCTCCTACTCCGTAGTGAGATGCGTCGCATTGGATGAAGAATGGTCTTCGAAAATCTGCGTGAACTAACACCGGGGCTGTGGTGAGGGCTAACTTCAAGCTTTCTATGGCTTCTATGGCCTCGTCGCTCAACACAAATCTACCCGTTCTCTTCTTAAGGGCATCAGTCAACGGTACCGATATCTCGGCGAAGTTCTTTATGAATCGGCGATACCACCCCGCCGTACCTAAGAAGCTTCGTAGTTCTTTGACTGTCCTCGGATTCGGGATGTTCCGGATCGCTTCTACTCTTCCCGGATCCATGCGCAGCGTCCCGCCGCCTATGATGAAACCCAGGTAGTTTAGGTTGCGGAAGCAGAATTTTGACTTCGCCATGCCTATGGTGAGGTTCGCGTTCCTCAGACACTCGGCCACCAATTCCAAGTATTTTAAGTGCGTTGGAAAATCTGCCGATATTATCAGCAAGTCGTCTAGGTATACGAATACGTTGGACCTCAGATTCGCCGGGATTACTCTGTCCATGAGCCTGCAAAGTTGTTGAGCGGCGTTGCGGAGCCCGAATGGCATGTGGCGGAACTGGTATAGCGGCCTCCCTGGTACAGTAAACGCCGTATACGCCCTGCTCTTCTCCTCCATCTCGATTTGCCAGAACGCGAACTTAAGGTCGACGCTAGAGATAAAATGAGTCTCGTCGATTCGCGATAGGATGCCCTCGATGCATGGAAGCGGGTAAGCGTCTTTTACCGTTACTCTGTTTAATTTCCTGGCGTCTAAGCAAAACCTGTTCTTCCCAGGCCTCATCACCACCGTCGTCCGGTTGCTCCAGGGGCTGTCACTCTCCTCGATGATGCCCAACTTTAGCATCTTATCCACCTCGGCCCACACGATCTCTTGTTTGGCCGGGGACAGCGGATAATGTCTGTCTTTCACGGGTTCTGCTCCCTCGATCAGCTGAATTCGGTGCTGCAGCAGGTGAGTTTTCCCTAGGCCATCCTTCTCAAATTGGAGAAATCTGCGCTTCACGCTTTCCAACTGACTCCTCTGATCGTTGTCCAGGTCCCACATTTCCGGATCCGTCACGCAGTCGTCGTCGTCCCGGTAATAAGCCACCTCTGGGTTCGCTACCGTTACCTCAGATGCCTCTGGTGGTGTTTCGGACTTTCTGGCCGGACCGAGCAGCTCTGGTGCGATCTCAAAGGCTCGCCAGAAGTCGATTCCCAGGTATAGTTCCTGTCGCAGGTCCGGGCACATGTAAAATACGATATCTTCCTTTCTATTCCCGTATTTCACAGGCAGAACAACGCGACCTAAAATTGGGCGATTGGCACCCGCCGCTGTCCTCACCATCGATTCGTATGGCCGCGCTTCCCATCCCAGTTTCTCCACTAACTCCCGGCATCCTTGTCCCAACAGACTGACTGAGGCCCCCGTGTCCAGCAACCCTTTCATCTTGGCCCCAGCGACCTCCACTTCGGCGAATACTCGTGGGTCTATACTCTCCTCCCGTCTCACCGCTTCGACGACCTGGCGCCTGGTAATCCTGCGTCTGCGGAAGCGCGCACGTGCCTTCACCATTCTCCGGGTGGCTAGCGTCATCCCCTCCAGCTGTCGCTCACCAAAAATTCTATTTCGGGCCGACATGTATGCCCGAACACGTTCTTCGTATGGTAAGCCCCTCAGTGTTCCTCCTTTGCTTATACTATTATTATAATTAGCCTTATCCTGATCCTTATTCCAAATCTCCGTCTCCTTTCCAATGATTATTGGCTCTGGTAGGTGTCCCTCTCCTGCTTCCCCGCGGTCGCCGTCCCGGAACGCGTCTGTCCCGCCATCACCGCGCTCCCTCTGGGGTTTCCCGGACAGTTTTTACACTGCGAGCAGAAAGTGTCCGGCTTTCCACACCTATAGCAGAATATTTTCCGCTCCTTGGACAGGCAGTCTCTAAAGACGTGATCGAACTGTCTGCAGTTCCAGCATACAATTCGGGATGAGTTTCTGCTTCGCACGAATGCCTCCTCCAGTTCTCCCGGTGGCGTTTCTGTAAGATGCGGTGGTACTTCAACCTCGTGGACTACGGGCCTCGTTCCTTGTGGACAACGCGACGGCTGAAGGTACCCAGTCCGGCTTCTGCGACCCATGTGCCTCTCCACTTCTAGGCACTCTTGGCGCAGCTCATCCACGGTGAGTACGTCCATGGCATAGATATATTTCGCCAGACTTTCTTTTAAACCACGCTTTATAATCCTCACCAGCTCTCGGTCTCTCAGCGGCTTCTGGAATCGCGCGGCGAGTTGACGCATGTGGTGGATATAATCATCCACCCCTTCGCTGGCCTGTTGCTCTCGTTGTAGAAGCTCCTGCATTACATCGTGTTCCGTCTGGTAGCCCCGGAACCTGTCCAAGAGGGCATGCCGCAGTTGCATCCAGCTGTCGACCCTAGAATGCCGCACGTGCATCCAATACCACTCGCGGGCGCGTCCGGTCAGGAGCAGGTGGAAACCGCGCAGGACCTCCTTCCACGGGCACTGATACTGCCTCTGCAGGAACTCTAGGCGGAACACGAAGTCCTCGACCGAATTCATCGCGTCCTCGCCGTCAAACTTGACGTTCCACCGCTCGAGCTTCATGTACGCAGTTTCTCGCACGTTGGCGTACGCCTCCTCCGGTTGAAAATCATCCGCTCTCCGGTCCTCTACTCGGAAATGACGGTTATTCGGGTTACGCCAGTTCCTCGACTGAGCATCTGCCACGTAAACTGGGCTGCTGGACGAATACTCCGCCCCTCGTGCGCCTTGTCTACGTGGCTTCGGTGGCACCGGTGGTGGAAATGCCTCGCGCTGGAACACTTCCCGTTCTTTCGGGATGGCGCCTGTTCGCGGTCCCGGCTCGACATGTCTGGGCGGCTTCGGCGCAGTGTTAGTCTCGGCGGTTTGGCTCCCTGGCGGCCTAAGCACATCAATGATGCCCTTCATCATTTCCATGAAGCCAGCTCGCATCTCCTCGCGGATGGACTCGCTGATGCCAGATGGCAGAGCATGCAGATATGTTTGGTGGGCCTGAGCGATCGCCGCGTTTGCCGCCGATTTGAGCACTGAGTCTTTCGGGGCTTTTGGGAACTCCAGGTTCCGTGGAGGTCTATCCTGTTGCGCCAATTCTTTCTCCAAGTCTACCAGGTGACCCTCTTCCGGGATCTGTCTCTCTGGAAATCCCCGGAAATTCATTGGCGTTCGCACCAGCCCTCCAGCTGGGCGCGGCGGTGGCAGAGCCGACGCCCCATCAGCGTCAGAAGCCCAATCAGACACCTGTTCCTCAGCCATACTTATCCCTTCTGAGAACAGTACCCCTCTCTTCTACAAGGCTTACAACCCTTATAAAAACTTTACTAATATTCCTAATAAATTAATAAATAAATAAACACCCACTAACAAATCTTACTAATAAAGAATAATAAATTAATACACATCGACCACAAAAACACTCACAAAATTAAATTTTTTTTCTTTCTAATTAATTTCAAATACTTGGGGGAGAGAAGACAAATCCTAACACAGGCTAAATAATCTACGCATAATCTGGACAGTGGACAACACTTTAGCATTCGTCCCATGCTCAGTTCGTCAGTTTGACTGACGAACGGCATGCAAGGAACGCTACCTTGAAGGCTATTTGGTTTCTGTCGCACTTCTGGGCACCCTTAGGGTATGCTGTGTGACAGGTGCGGCGTAGGATCGGCTCTATATCGTCCTGGGTCACCTGCCTCCGAAGCTCATTTAACTACGGCCAGCACACACCAAACGTTAACACAGAGTGGGACAAAACAAATAGAAAACATTAAACAAACTCTAGTCAGACCTACCCTAATATCACATTTTGTCACAGGTTATTTTGTCATGGCGGCTACCACCAGGCTACGCTGGACGGTCGCGAACGTTCACCAACTAGCAAACGTGACTTACCGTCATCAACCGCGACAAGAAAACTCCCCATGTCAATGGACACCATGGCAAGATCCGTCTCCGTCGCTCTTCTGGCCATTCTTGGGATATGCTGTGTGACAGATGCGGCGCAGGCTCGGCTCTATAACGTCCTGGGTCACCTGTCTCCGAAGCTCGTATAACTACGGCCAGCATACATCCAACATTGACACAAAATGAGACAAAAACTACTAATTGAATAAATAACATCTGACTAAACTACCCTAATATCACATTTTTTTAATCATGAGATGCCTTTGTCGTTGCGGCTACCACCAGGCGAACGATGGATAGTCGCAAATGTTTCGCCAACATGCGAACGGCCATCAACCACTACAAAAAAAAACCCTCATGCTTATGGATGGATATTCAGATAACCTCTACTTCCGTCGTGCTTCTCGGATTCCACTACACGCTGCGCGATTATGAGCTACCTACTCGTGCCACATAAGACTTCAGCGGTGTGGGTCCTGACGCCAAGGGAGTCCTTTCCTCTGTACCTTTATTTTTATCGTATTTATTTTTCTTTGATTACACACCGACTTCAAAGAAGCCGAGTGCTTCTTCAAATTGGGCGCCATATTGTTACGGAACTGCTTGTTTCTCAGTGGGCCGCGCCGGCTGGCTCATCGGATTCTCTGGGTGTGGTCCCATCCCTGGCCCGCAGTCCGCACAATCGATAACAACAAAGCTACACGTCTGTAGCAAAACAGACTCACACAACACTACTCAAAATGAACCGCATAATCGATAACAAATATTCGGAACTACTAACTCATGAACAAAATACACAGCTGTAACAACTATGAAAATGTAAACAACAAAGGTAAGACACTCAATATAAATTAACAAAAAAAACACTATTTATCCACCTTACTCTTCCAGATCGGGCCCCGGTTCCGGACCCAGCGTACCCGCCCTACCATGAGACGATCACCTCCACTCGTCTCCCTCATTTTGGCCACTAAATGGCCTATATTAGCCCGTGTCGGCCATAATGCCCACTCTCCCCAACAATATTATTTTAGCCGGACATGATTTCTTTCAATAGGTGCGTATAATTGGTTGCGTTTTCTTAAAATGTATAACAATCATAATCATTGCTTATGGCATTTATCTTGCAGCTGTTTAGGATCTCATGCAAGCGGATAATTCATTAACTTCACAGGTGCGTATTACTGTTGCATATATTTATACTAATTGACAAAGCGCATTCATTCCTAAATTTTTCTCTTATCTTATAGAATTAATTTTTTTATTTTTTTACAACACTGAATGGAACAGGCGACGAAATACTACAAGGATATTGCTAGTCGCCGCAAAAGAAACGCGCAAGGAGGCACTTTAGAGGCAATCGTTGCGCCGATTTAGGAACAATGGCCCACACAATTACTTAAAACTGGGTATGTCACGTATTATGTATTGTATGTATTAAATCGCTTAATTCTACCTTACCCTACCTAAAGAGCTCTCTGGGGGTGGTAAGGGGCGATATAAATGCGTAAATTCAAATTAGGTAAGTATGTGAGCATAGTTCGCGCAAGTGTCAATTTTAGATTTTTATATTTTACAGGCGCAGATGCATCACCTTTGGAGTTTCCCTCACCGTTCGCACTCTAAAGTGAAGCTCGGCGTAAGTGCCTACGTATGTATAAATATATTTTATAAATACAAATTAACTAAATTTAACGAAAAAAAAAAAATCTACTCCTTTTCAGGGAGTGCAATTAGGAGTCTTCTTCTGACTCTGCCAGGGGCTCGAACGAGGATGGGCAAAAACATGGAACGGACTCACTCGGTGGATGTGGGCGGGGTCTCGCCTGTGGCCGCTTCTTCGTTGTTGGAGCCCGGTCGTTGGTGGCTCGTCTCGTCGCCTTCAGGTTTGCGCCGACGCTTGCTGGCGGCGTCGCGGATATGGCTGGTTTGCGCCGCTGCACTGAATCCTGGCCTTTGAATATTTCGTGGGCCTCACTGGTGCGCGAGCTGGTCTCCTTGGTGCCGGAGCCGTTAATTTTTGGCTTATTTGGTTCGTCTCTCGTCGCACTTAAGTTTTAAGTCTCTTTTAATTTTTTATTATATTTTTTTTTTTTTTTTTGACTCGAGCGGTTTGCTTTCGATATATTTATTAAATGGCAAAAAAGAACACAAAAACAAAACTTTTATTTGTCTGTTAAGTCATTTGTATTATGCGCCGGCTTAATTTGCAGAAGGAAAAAAATTCGAGTCTTTTTAGCAGAAATGCAATGTACAACTTTTATGCTCACTTCGAGCTGGCACGCCCGCCGTTAACCGCTGAACAAATCGAACTCCACGACATTTTTGGGCAGCCACACCATCGGTGCCGAATTTCGGCACACGCATACATTTGCGAGGCGGGCACCGTTGCTGCTCATCTGCACAGCTGCAAATTTTTTTGGGTCAACGGCCCAAATGCGGGCCAGGGATGGGACCACACCCAGAGAATCCGATGAGCCAGCCGGCGCGGCCCACTGAGAAACAAGCAGTTCCGTAACACCTGGGCACAAAAATATCGGTGGCATCTGGCCCAATATTTGTGCGATAGAACGGCAACGCTGCTTATTTTTATCTCGCTCGCACTTACTCTCTGCGCTCTCTCATGTTTAGGGATCGTATTAAGCAAAAATGCGCACAAATTTATTTTTCTCAAATGTCGGAGGCATTTCTACCCTTTTGAAAGGTCGAGTAATATAAAATCATGAAAGGGTTTGCCATGTCGTCCGAAATTCTTGCAATTTAGCTCGTTATCGTTGGTAACGGTACCTAACCGTTGGTATGTGTGCATTTACGATTCTTTGGACTTGCTGTCTGCCTGTCCCCGATGCAAATTGGACAAGATTTTGGGATTTCTAATTTTCGACCTCTACACACAGACACACACACACAAATGCGTATGAATGGGCAGATCATTGGCGCAAAAGAAAATTTAATTATTTGGGTTTGATGAATGAATGTTGTCTCCTTATTATATCGTCAAATTAATATATGACAAAGATAAATATTATAGCTGAATCAAACTATTAAAACTATTAAACATATATGATCGCTCCTTTTGGTATTTCTTATATTTGAATATTTTACAGATTTTAATTTTTACACAAATATCCGCTGGTCATAAAATTATTTAAGTGATCAGCCACCTGTCCTACATATGCAAATGCAGGTGCTTGCCAAGTGTTTATCCGTTCGTCCCAACGGGCTGCCGCAGGTGATCTGCCCATGATCTGCCCATTCATACACATTTGTGTGTTTGTGTGTGTGTGTGTGTGTATTTTTGAACGCATGCCAGTTTTAGTAAGCAGTTTATCATCGTTCATAGCAAATTCTCAAACTCAATTGCATATGTTAACAAATTCAAATTTTAGTACTCCAGCTATATACACATGTAAAATTCATTCAATTATTTTTCAACACAGATCAAACAGATTGTTCAATTTGAAAGTGGATGGATACACAGTAGAAACGCTTTTTCAAATTAATTGGTAGTGGCGGATACAAACTCAAAACGCAGTGATGATAAAAACTTAACAGTGGAATTCTCCAAACTAATATAGATTTGATCTAGGGTTCGTAAACACATGGCATCTTACCGGAACAGCTGTTTGAAATCGGCCCAAAAGTAACCGACGGGAAACGGGCGCAAAATGACAAACAGAAGTGTAACAATATTTTTGTAGATATTTGATACTTTTGTATGGTATAAGTTTAATTTTTCATTTCAAGCTTTTCTAACTCCTTTTCAAACGACAACTCAATTGTCCTTAGACCTTTTTCAAATTTTTCGGAATCTGCTATCCACCGGCACTGCAAACTTTTGACTCCGTTCACTTCAGTTTTTCTGTTATTAGTCTCTTTCATTATAGTAATATTTTGTTGAGTTGATACCGTGCTTAAAGTTTTAAGCAAGCAAGCAATTTGACAAAGAATCTTCATGAAAGTAATATCAACTTTGAACTTTGCACAACATTCATATGCAAGGAGCAGCTCTGAGGAACTGATCGCCGAAATCTACATCAGATCCAGGAATGCCTTTAATATTTGTTATAAACAATTTTCTATGTATATAATTTTAATAACAAGCGATATTTGCATAGTTTCACCATTCGATTATTCGATATTCTCCGATAGACCCGAAATTTGCAAGGGCCACCACTATAGCTATATTACATTTTAAATTTATACTTAAATATATGCCAATTGAATTCGGAGTATGTATACTGCATTTATATATAGCGGAAATAAGTAGGCATTCATTTCAGTTGGAAAACTTATTAATTGTTTTGTGGAAAAAGTGTTTATCTAGTAATTTTGTTACTATGTTCATCTGCATATACGATGTTGATTTATCCAAACCATTTACATACATTACATTTAAATTAATATGCCAATATGTGCTGCAAGTTACGGCAAATTTAGACATGCTTAGTAATATATAAAATGTTCCTCTATGCAGGTATTTATTCAAGTGTATATACCAGTCAACTTAAAGAATACAAACATTAATAGCAACACCCCTAAAGATTAACTAGTCAATTATTGTTATTATTATTTGTCCAATTTAATGAAATCATGGGCAACCATTCGTATATTTATTTACGGCAAAGTATTTGATAAACATTCACCTATTTTCATGTGTATACACAACATAAATATATGTACATACATATGTGTGAATTCGCGCACTCAGTGTATACATATGCATATATATATATTTGAGTGTGTGTGTTTAGATGCCAATGCAGCAGTATCTAAATATATTTACGTATGTATGTACATAACTGTTGTCCCCAATATCAACCGAAGCAAGATTTAATTGTTTGCATTGTATAAGCAATTAAATCAGTATTGACTTGTTTCATACATTTTTAAGGTGCCGAGTAAGTTAAGTAGATCGGACTAAAATAGGTATAAATATTTTGCTCTTTGGCGCAACTTAGTAGCCAGATTGATTGATGAATTTAGTTCAGAGTTTTAACCCGACTTATATTCTACACAACACATTTTCATTACAAACAAATATTAACTACGTCATATATTGGATCACTTTTCATTTTAAAAAAAGTCTCGAAAAGTATTTCTACTACTCTAATAGCGCACAGGATACATGTCGATTTATGAGATCTATTCCAGAAAAGTTTTTTGTTTTTCATATGTTGCATTATATTATATATGTACCTACCTAAGAGTAATCACGATCGAGGTAAAATTATTTTTGGTTAAAAGTTATTTACAAAACTCTACGAAAGAGTTAATGAATACGTGATTATGCGATTTTAGAAATTAAAATCGCAAGTGTGAAAAATTCGCGAATTTACGTTCGATCGGCTTCCAAAAAAATATTTTGATACTTTTCGCAAGAAGGGGTGGTCTTTGGTGGAAACTGCGGCCTTGAAGTGGTAAGAGCGAAAGTTCATTTTCCGGTTTCAAATTCACCCCACCAAGACTAAAATGTGCGTAAATTTTGGTTCGTACATCGAACTAATGGGATTTAAACAAAAATTAAAAAGATGACAAAAATTAAAACTCTTTACTTTCCCATTATATTTAAAAACAAAATTGACCTGACTAAATCTTCTAGTATTAATGGTCTGATATCCCACTTGAGAAAGTCTGCTTTTCGCTGAAATCTCTAGACTAGTATGTTTTTAATCATGTTCAGACATTCATCATTTCGTAGATTGTAAATAATCTGCACTGCATCTGTGTTCTTACACAATAATCTACTAAGATTTTCACGAAATATGTAACGCATAAGAGGAGACATCTCTCGCATTTATTCAGTATTTACAGCAAAGCCGGTACAGCTATGTCAGTTTTAAAGCTATCTTCATAAAATTTAACGTAGATACGTCTTTTGTATGTACAATATATATGACGGAACCAGGTTGTGCCGCTATATTATATAGCTGCCATATACATACATATGTCAACAAATTTTAAATCCATATGTTGCTATCATACTTTTAACACGCGCACTTTAAGCTTGTTCAGGTTCTCTTCATTTATTCCCACACTATGGAATTGATGTTTATAGGCCGATATTTATAAAATTCTAAGGGCATAAATATGGCTTCCATATGTGAGTAAAAACGAATGACCTCGTCTACCTTTAAGATTTAGTATTGTACAATTTTAAGGAAACAAGAGGGTGAAATATTCTGGTTCTCTGAATAGTAAAAAGTCTACTTACTAAAATATGTGCTGCCAGCTCTTAAAGGCCCTATGATATGTTAAAACAAGTAAGAGGTTTTAGTCGGGAGCTCCCGACTAGGGGATACCCTGAACCCTCTTATTCCAACACCAAATAAATGAATAAAAAAAAAGTTCCCTTGGCAGGGCTCGAACTCGCGACAGATCGCACCACTTGCTATGCCTCTACTCAACAGCCACACCAACAATTAAGTACTTATGATAAAAAGGAACTAAAATAACATTACAAAAAAGAGATGCAATTACCATGCTATTAGAATGCGAAGCAGACGCG